GGGCCTCGCGACGCGTGGGCTGGAGGACCGGGGCCGCTCGCTGCGCCAGCCTCGGGCTTTCCTGAGGGAATCCCTCGCGTCAGGCCCACGGTCGGCCTCTGTCGTGATCTCCTGAGCGCTTCACTCCCCTCTGCCAGCCGGGACTGAGGACCTCAAGGTGCCCCCATTCCCCAGGATTCAGCACAGCCGGGTTCAGATTGACCGTCTTTTCGGATGGAAAGGTTCTCTGAGTTTAAGTAAATCCAACAGTATTCACAACACTGAATAATAATACTTTAAATAAACCTTTGGTCCGGAGATAGCTCCCCCACCCCCATACAACTTTTAGTCTTTTCCGAACTGTGCTGCATTGGATCATCTTTGAGATAATTCTTAAATTGGTGCCTTGAGGCCCTGTGCTGGGATGTTCAAAGAACCTTTACGTTTTTTCCATAACCTGTATCATGGTGTGAAATGGAAAGCGTGAGTTGAAGGTGATTTTCCACACGAACTGGGTTTTAGTTTGTAGTCCCCGTTTCCTGGTGCTTACTTTGCTTGTGTCGTGCTACCTCTAAGTTGGTTTTGGACTTACATGGTGGTTAGGTAAAGGGGCTGCTGAAAGAAGTTAGGTATTATCAGCAGAGCCATTTTAATGGTTTCTATTAACCTGTTTGACCGTAAGCTTTAATCATAACAGGAATTTCATGTAGGAACCCACACACCAAGTTCAAAATTGAATTTGAATTAGTGCATTGTAGGTCTGAAGAGGAAGAGTCTTCCCAGATCCCAGTCCCTTAGAATCCCGGAACTGCACTTAGGAAACACTTTTTACTTTTGAGTTGGAGGGAAGTACCTTTGAATCATGAAATTTTCTTTGACAAACTTGAAAACAATAAAATAGGTAATATCTGAAGCATGATAATGAGATAAGTTAGGAAATAGTGCATTTTATAGCATTATCAATTTGAGAAGTTAAGATAACGTCTTTACGGTTTTGAAATGATGTTGACATTTTAATTTTAGGAACCACAAAAGTACAGAATTTTAGATTTGTAAGGGACCTCGACAGTCTAATTTAGCACTTTAACCCCTCTTAATTTTCTGAGAAATTAAGAATCAAAGACAGTTTCCTGAAGAGGGTTGGTAGGAGCTAAATAGGACTAGTTTTCTTAATTAAACACTTCACTAGATAATTCAAGCTTCCCCCATGGGTGTTCTTGTAGTAAAGTTTGTCTTACGCTTTTGAATTTTTCTTTTTAAAGTTTTTGCTTGTTTTAGTGCTGGAAATGAAATCTAAGGCCTCAGCCTGGTGTATACCACTGGGCTATGTCCCTACTCCCCTTGCTCATGTTATCATTTAAAAAGTAAAGTAATTACTAAATATCCCCCACCCTCTTTCTTCCTTGAGTATTAATATGCTTAGTTTGCTATTTGGTCCCTTTAGGTAAAAAAATGACACAAGTTATTTATAATTAGGAAATATTTACACCCTTATCAATTGAAATACAGTATTGCCTTCTAGTTTAGTTGAATTTAGTGATTATTTCTCACTTCAAGAACCTTTATTAATATTCTAGATTGAAGTACTGTAGAGTATGTTACTCACTGGAGAATATTTCAAAAGTCTTAGATTTGTGTATATAATTTAGAGTTTCCAGTACACATGTAGTAATTTAATTCCAGCATCCCCAGCATCACTGTTTTTGTTCATCCTCAAATGTAGGAGTCCTGAAGTCCTGGAGGGAGATGACTTTTTGCAGTGTTAGTGTAGGCATTTATTTATGCTTATTTGCTCATGTGCTGGTAAGGGGCTTCACCAACAGTGAGCCATATTTTATTAACATGCCCAATGTCAGGTGTAGTGGGTACTCTGTAAATACTTGTGGTTTTGCTGGTAGCAGGGTGCCTAAAAATCTTGAATCATGAAATAGCAAGTTTTTTGTGTTCAGTTAGATGCTCTTGGGCATAATTTTGATATTTAAAAAAACATATCAAATACTTTAGAAAATTTGGGGGAATTTTTTTCTGTAATATTTTTTAGTCACAATGACTTTGAGAAAGTACACCATTGTTTTAATTTAGTGAAGAACTCTTCAGTCAAACTAGAATGATACAAAATTTCTATTGAAATAAACTTTGATAACTATGACTTGGATGATCCTCTAATTGTTATAGACCACTTTTTTTTTTTTTTTTTTTTTTTT